GATATTTTGAAGCCAGTCTAGCAGAGAAAATTTCTTCCACTTTGAAGTCACAAGCCGCCTGGGCTCAGCTGCAGGTAACTGTAGTAACGTTTTAACTTGAAAGGGCAAACATTTAGATCTGCTTAATACCATGACAACATTGACGGGGCAAAGTTGCTAGTAAGAAGGCCTGGTGTAAACGTAAGCCATGTATAGTTCAAATGTAAGCCCTACTGTCTAGTACTTGAACTACAATGAGACTAAGTGACTAGGATAAGATTACATTGGGATGTAGTGGAAAAGAGTATAAAGGCAAAGTTCGTATTTGCTCCTCCATTATAAGACTAAGCGTGCATTATCTGTGTCTTTTTGTAAGCTTTTCCATTCTAACAACTTCTATGCTTCTATAATGGCACTCTTGTAGAAGTAACACGCACGCACACATACGCACGCACACACACACGCACACACACACACATACACACGCACACGCACACATACACACACACACACACACACACACTCACACACACACACACACACACACACACACACACACACACACACACACACACACACACACAAAAGCAAAGGGAAAAAGAGAGGAGCCCATTGTATCCAGATCCTCAACTTTCTAGTTCTATGCCTGAGTGGGTTAGGGATAGGATCAGGCACGGTTCTGGATGGTCTCCGCGTATCCAAGAACGTAGGTTTGTTCCAGGCACGGTTCTGGATACTATTCAGAATCGTGGTTCTGGAAAAAAACACAATTCTTGCTACAACGGGGATCTTGAATAAGAAGTCCACCTGTACCAGTAAGTTACCTGTGCAGGTGTGTTTTCCGGACTTGAAGTACAGGGAATTGTAACAGCTGCAGGTGTAGCTGCCTACAGTGTTAGTACAGATGTGGTCACACCCGCCATTGTTGGACAAGCACTCGTTGGCATCTACATACAAAACAATGAAAAAGTTAATAATCCGATGTAGAAAATGTATTCAACGTATTACTACCAAATTAAAGTAGTGTACTGCAACTCCTGTGAGATGATGGGTCCTAGTATTACACTAATATACATTTGTATACATACATAGTTACACATACAGTTAATAGTCTATACATACATATCAGCCTGGAGAAAAATAATGAGCTATATGCTTACATGTACATGTATAGCTTAGTGTGAGAAAAAATTTTTACCAAATCACACCATCTATTGTGGTTAGAATTGAGTGCAAAGTATCGCTGCGTTTAAACCTTACCGTTACACACCCTCCAGTGTGCCCCGCTCCCCGGCGTTCCTACGCTCGCCTTGCCGCACGCGTAACCAGCTGAACAGGGCCATTTGTTGCACGCGTGTCTGAACAGGTATTCTCTCTGGTACGGGAGGAAATACACTGTTTTTAGCTATTGGTGAGAAGCATCCTTATGTTGTGTGTGTGTGTGTGTGTGTGTGTGTGTGTGTGTGTGTGTGTGTGTGTGTGTGTGTGTGTGTGTGTGCGTGTGTGTGTGTGTGTGTATGTGTGTGCGCGCGCGCGCGTGTGTGAGGAGGGCTTGGGAGTACTATATCGACCAAGTAGTACTTCGAGACTATTTCAAATGCCTATAGACTCTATAGACTCAATAGTGACTGGTCGAAAACTCTAGGTGAGAACAATCTTTTGTCTAAACATGTAGCCACCAAATACAGGCGAACTTTCATCAAAGTAAATCGCTGCCTTTTATGTCAAAATGAGTCAGAAATAGCGCACATTTAGCTACAGAGTTTTGAAAGCCTTAGCTTACCGAGCGTTCGTGGCTTAAAACCTCCTCCACTTCCTCAAAGCTACAACCTTCGCCGTAACACTCCTCGTAAAGCGACCTTTTACGTCTCGATCGTTTCTCAAGGAAATTGTTTGCTTCCTTCTCGGTCCGGAAGAGTGATGACGCGCCATTGACACCAGCCTGGGCGTCTGCGCCTGAACTGTGGAAGAGTATATCAGAAAAATTGACACAGAGTGTTTGGCAGCAATCTTAAGATTCTTTTCTCTAGGAAAAAACGGATTAATAAGTTTTGAGATAACATCTTGAAGCACCATGAAATGCTCCAGAAATTTGTTGAAAATTCGTATTTTTAGCGAAGATAACACCAGGATGTAGCATCCGTTGTAGACTTAATTTGAACACTACCAAGACATCATGTTGAACAGAACCTTTGTTATTAACACTTAAGCCAACACCACTGGCATGATATTGCATTTTGTGTCACTTTCAAAACACATTTAGTACCCTAGATTTTGTACCCTAGACATTGTACGTATAAAGATCCCTAACTGAAATAAACAAAAGAATGTTGTTTGAACTTACCACAAAGTCGAGTAAATTGTCAGAAAGAATATGTTCAGGCAGCACAGCGGCAAGGGCCGGGTGGTTCGTAAGAGCTCCATGTCTTTCTGTGTATACGGAAACAAAATGTTGTTTTTGTCTGTATCGGTATAGCTGGTAAAACTGCCCTTCGGAGGCATGCGTCGCGGCGACAGCTAGCTATATTACACCGAACGTTGTCCTTAGCTAGTACTGCAGTTCCTTTCATGTATTTTGTGCTGACCTTTGAAACATTTTACAGACATTTGAAACTTATCCATCCATAACCCGGTCGCCTGTAAGAAAAAGCCTGCTAATCATATACCACAGGGCATAGTTTCTAACAAACCCGTCATGATGCGTGGTTGTGAAATTTCGGCTTGGTACAGAAAGCAGAAGTGGATCATGCGAATTCTCTTGTACATCCGCGTTGGCGTACGGATACTATAACAATACACCATGTACTGTTATTCCGGCTTGCCACACACCTGGGATCACATAATATAACCTTTCTATATGTCAGTGATAACCGATATATTGTAAATAGAAAAGCAAGATTGTGGGTGGTTCACCAAATTTAGCCATACGACTAAAGTTGCTGGTGTGGTATGCTGTATGGTTCCGCTTTCCACCTCCATATTTTGCACCCTTTTACGCCTTGTTATTCTCCAGTAACCAATCAATCAATCTATCAATATAAAATGATATAAAAGCTGTGTCTAAGGACTTTGTGAAATTCTTCGTACGACAATTTTACAAGATGAGGGCATTGTTGGAACCGTCGTGCAGTGACAGAAAAGCCTCAGATCGATCCTTATCTTGTTGACGATCGGTTCGGTGTCAGCCTCGCTGAAAAGCTTGACACAAAAACAACTGCACGACAGGTGACACTGCGATTTAACACCTCCTTCCAATTTACACTATCTAGCCTCTATGTAAGTGGTACTTACATGTTTTTCTGGTAAATATAAGGAGAACCAACCGTAGGTTTCCGTGCGGAACCGACTGCCAGCGCTCTTTAACTGATCGCTTATCGCACCTTTGACTTCGTTTTCAACGCAGGGGATTAATATGAGCACTGAGGTGGAAAGTGGTATCAGTGGTGTCTTATCACCATAGCTACCTTCCGTGTTCGTATCCCTGTCTCGTCAACCGAAGCAAAGATGTGCATATGATACCCCGTGGAAACAATAAAGGTTCAAAGCCTTTTCTAGACAGGAATGAAGTTAAGCTCCTTTCCGCATCAACTGACGCATGGGGCGGCGCCTGTTTCAGTTGTCTGAAGGGCTGAAAGGCTAGACACAAAAACAACTGCACGACAGATTAGACTGAGATTTAACATGTACCCCATTCCAAGTTATGCTACCTAGCCTCTATGTACGTGCTATATGTTACCCTGGGCCACATAGATGAAACAGTGGCCCAGGGCAACAGTGCAATCACTACAGCAGGGGGCAAGTCCAATGGTAGTGGTGTATGTTCAACTCCCATACTCTTTCCCAAATGCTGAGTACCATTTTTTCAACAAGTCTTTGGTATGAGTCGGCTGGGGATCGAACTCACGACATACCGAATGCGTTGCGAGCATTATACCCACTTGGCCATTGCACCGGTTGTCCGGAATAGCAAATAAAACAATACAAATGCCAACAGAATCACAACAATTCAAGTGCCAACAGTTGAACACAGTAATCATCATCATCGGTCGTCATCTTCGCAGGCGACTGCAAATTTCCTTTACTTCTGTATCTGTATATATTCTGTATATGTATCTAATATATAGCCGGTATAACCGTCCTTCGGCGTAACACACTTCCCCTTGTTGCTAGCAATGCAGGAGATCTGTTTCATCGAGAGTTTCACCGTGGATCAAATATGAATCACCATTTCCGTGATAGAGGCTGAAGTGAAAACTTCTCATAGTACTGATAAGAAAGGTTGCGGATCAAGAACCAATGATGCAATGTCAACACTTCAACCAAGAAGGTGATAGGTCTGCCACTCTGCGGAGTGGCTGTCAACACAGGTCTGCCTAATATCTCCGTGCTTTATCAGAGTATGAGTTACCTTCTGTAGTAAACATAGACTTGGCAGAGGTCCATTATTTCACTATCAACCGGTGGTTGTTTGAACCCGCTGATAAAGTTCAGTTTTCCCGTGATTGTTGACTCTGTCTGGCAGGTTGCCCAACAGTTCATTAGCGCGTCATTTTCCGCCCAAGCAACCTTCCGTGTTCGTACAAAGGTCCTGTCATTCAGAGCAAGAACGTACGTGACTAGTGCGAGAACAGTGTGATTAGGACAAAGGTTGTTTTTGCCAGGAGGGTTTCAAAGCAAAGTGTCAATAGAAAACATAGTAATAGTATATATAGGAAGAGGTTAATTGCATTGCAATGTCCCAATCACTGATATTTATGTATTATACCTACCGATTTCAAGATAATTAGCACTTTTTGTGAATAGTTTCATCAGGTTGGTAAGAAACTTAGTAAAGAGACTCTTGTTACACAACCAAGTCTTTTATTCCGCCGACGTTTCGGTGACCGTCTGTCACCTTCCTCAGGGCAATTCTGACTGGTTCATATTGCACTGCAGCACAGGTGTCGCTGCATCTATAGCATACATATTGAGACTGTGGTTCAGTCATTAGGATATTTCAACCTTCTCAATCCTTTCTCCAGTTCAGCGTCATTCCCGTACGCAATGATGAAGAAAATAACACCATCTGCGATCTAGTGGTGAACAACGTCGCTCAAGAGATAACACAAAGAGATGGTAAGGAAACTCCAACGGCTATTTCTGAACAGTACTACGGTTAGATCGTGCTTTTTGTTCGTTTTATTAGGATTTTCATTAGTGTTACATAAATCAATTGCACACTAGTACTATTCTTTCCAAAGGTGATGATGTAACTCACCGTGTGGGTAATACCAGATGTTTGAACATACGGTGGTGATATGATGTTCTAACATATCTGACTTGACATAAAACAAACAGTAGTATTATATGGTTTGATTTTCTGAGAGTGTGTTTTAGCTTTGCAAATATCCTGCACGTCTTGAGTGACACTGTAGCATTTGTACTTCGGCGCACTGACAGGGTGTTTTAGCTTTGTCACTGTTTTGCATGTTTTAAGTGACACCTTAACATTTGTACTCCTGTGCAGGAAACCAAGCTGTATTTGATGACCTGGACTACTCCAAAAGGTACTGTTGCTCTCCTAACTATCTCGCTGTCGTCTGTAGTTTGCCTGGCTATAGGAGTACCAACTGTAGCAATGCTAGTTACCTTTTTTGCCAAATGTTGATGTTACAATTGTACCGTTTGTTATTAATAGAGCAATGAGTATAATCATTCAAATACAGAATCTAAAACACTTTTTTGTATTCCTCACATGTGCATGGATATGTAACTGTTCTGGATAGTCATAGATAGTAGACGTAGGCATTTATGACAATGAACAGTCATAGATATACTATATACTACCATTTCTTTTCAGGTCCCTGTCGGGTTTGTTTGTTTGTTTATTTTTTCTGTCCTCTATCAGGTTCCTGTTCACTGTGACGAAGAACGGCGAGGTTGTGCGCGTGTACCATCCACACGATGAGCATCATCACGTGTTGGGCACCAAGAAGGTCCTGGTGGGCGTTCTGTCCGCACGCCTGCACACTACACCTCAGGTTAGCGTCATTGTATGCTCATTGTATCTGAATGCATCACACTGAACTAAAAATATTGAATCTTATGTAATAGGCTTGCAAAACCCTACACCATATCTCAAACTACGATGGCAAATTTTAAAACTAACATGGTTACCTCCAGTAACTACAGTAACAATGTTTCTGGAAATCTAGAGGATGGCTATTCAGCACCAATGATTGCTGCCCGTTCTGGCAAGGATGGTATATTTAGGAGAATCTGGTACAAGAAGAGTAGGTAGTGTTTTGTGATGATGAAGCCTATCAGTGCTATTGATGGTCAAATAAATAGTTAGTATAAATTGATTTTGTTAAATGTTAACCAAAATGTTTTGTATGTTTTAGACCATGACTCACGGCAAACCCTGGTCCTACAGCGTGAAAGAAACTGGACATGAAGGTATGAAACTTGTCAAAGATATCAGACATCTCGCTTTTGTATTATTTGTATTTTGTATTTTGTATTATTTGGAACTACATGTATCAATTACATCTGAAATTGAAAAGCTCAGTTCATAAATTTATCCTCTTGGCTTTCAGGTGAAGATGACCTTTCCTACGTAGGCAAGGTCACTCCGGAGGGCATCATGTTCACCAGGACACGACACGGTCACGTGGTGCGCAACGCTAAGGCCAAGCACGAGAAGGTGGGAGAAACATGGTCTTAAAAAGGTTTTAAAACAGCAAGGGAAGGGCGGAAAATATACTACAAAATATTTTGGGGTAGAACGCTTGAAATAGACACTGGTTCGATGCCTATATGTCGTCTATAATTAAGATTAACACTGTCAAATAGTTTTGTTAACAATGTCTCAGTTATGGAGTTGTTATTGTCATTATAACAATTTTTATTTCATAAATTGCAGCAAATTCTTTACCACCATGCATATGAAGTTCCTCAGACGGTCCAGCTGACGGAAATGTTTACTTCACCCCAACACAACACCCCAGGGTAACATTTTTTTTATTTTATTTATCATAATTGTACAATTACCTAGCACAAATGCAAAATCAGGCTTATCACGAAACAAGTACTTTACTGATTATGTTTGAAGCATATAGAGTACTAGTACTAATCGTGTAAAAGGTACGATGTTAAGAATGTAGCCAATGCTGTTAAACAATTTGTTGTACATTTTAGATACAATCCCAACGCTGGTATACCAGGAGATCCGGCGAAGCTGCAAGCGCTTCAGGACGAAGACTACGGTACGTACAAGTTTAGTGACTTTTCCATCACTGTTAAATCCTAATGATCCTTTCTACGTATCAAAGCGATACAGGCATTTAATATCAAACTGTGTCCTACCTTATGATTTTCTATTCCAACGACACACTCAAGTTTTTTAAACCTATTTTATGCCGCCACCAACACAGAGGAAAATACATTGAATGCAATACTCATTTTCACCTAAGCGAAGTGAGGAAAGCCGTGTAAGGTGCCTTTTCGCAAGGACACAAGATCGGTGGCATGGCAGGGTTTGAACCCGGGATCTCTTGGTTTTGAGATGAGCACTCTACCGTTTCGCTACATGATCCTACCTTATGTGTTACACAGATATGCCACCGATGACAGCTGAATCTGACGGGCACCTGAAGCTCCTACAGGTCATACCAGCCAACAGCCGGGACGCATACGAAGGAATTCCTACAAGTTTCAAACATGGGTCCCTTGTGATAGATGAGGTAGGTTTTTAATTCTTCTCCTCTTTAAAAATTGTATTTTAGTCATGTTTTTTTTTTATTCCGAAACATGTAATCACAAGACGTGGTGACGACACACTCAAGTTTTTTTCAACTTATATTAATGCCGACACCAATGTCATGTTTACGTCAATGCTTTGCTAGGATGTACTTTGCTGGCTAATACAATAGCACACATCGATATATGGCCGTTCTTGTTATTGATCAAAGTATTTATGAGCGGTTATAGCTGAAATACTTGGACTGTATGATATAGTCCTGTTGCATCTTCTTTACGTTGTTTTTCAGCCACCAGTACGTATCATAGCGCTGGATGACCAAGAAGACGCCATCGTTGGTAACCTGACTTGTATGAGAACTGTCAGGCCAAAAGGTTAGCCCTCTACTCAAATATCATATTGACTTTTCCGTAACGGTTAAGTTTCAACACAAGGAATTGGACTTACTCACATTTTCATCATGATTTCTACCAATTTTTCATTGTATACTGTCAATGAACCTAATGACCATCATTTGACATCACAGCATTTACGACCAAAAACAGTTAACTTTTGATCCCTAACAAACAATGGTTCTCACCTAGAGCCTTTGAAAAGACACTTTGGTCTTCCTCAGTAGACTGAGACAGAATTTTAACTTTAAACATGTAACTACCAGCACAGATGAACTTTCATCATAGGCCAATAACTGTATTTTCAAACTGCTACAGAATCGCAGGAAAGGATCACATGTTTCCGCCACATCGTGGACGCCCTGCTTCACCTCTCGCCGGAGAACCTCACAAGAGTGGCCGACACCTACATAGCGATCAACGCGACATCTGATGACGACATAGAGAACCGTGACGCCATCGCTGACGCACTGGGTGCCATGGCAACCAACGACTCCCTGACCCTGCTGACCAGACTGGTCCTGACGCCGCGGCAGAAGGACGCTAATCTGACCCTGAGGGCGCTTTTCCACTTCTTCGCGCTGGAACGTCCGCCACCGCAGGTATTCATTCATTACTGGTACAATATTTGTCTACGTAATAAGTAGAAGGCATAGACTGTTGTGATCGTCAAAAGTTGATATTTTTTCACTTAGTGGTCGCCATGTAACACGGCCGTTAGACCACTTCAAGGTGAACGGTGCGACCACCTGAATGGTATGACCACTCACCTGGATTACGGGTTACCGAGTAGAACTGTAACAGCAACTCTTCTCCCTGAGTCTGAAACATCATGATTGAGACCAGCCCAATTTCTCATGAGTAGTTAGGACTAACTGACGCAATGGGAGAAGCAGGGCTAGGGTTATGAGGCTGGTCGGGAATCCATATATCCACTGGCTCATTCTTAACACTTATATAAGAATGTATTTGTAGAGGATGTGAGTCTATAATGTAATAACTGTGCTCTGGCAAGCGTAACAGGAACTTGTGGAGACACTGTACGGTGTCACCCCGTGGATATACGGAACTGAAGGTAGTGGGCAACAGTTCTCATACAACAAACTAGTCCATTCTATTTTATCAACTCTCATTGGTTTGAATAATGTTGGCAAAATCCTACTGGAACGTTATTGATGAATCTGTTTACAGATCAGCATCGAGACTGTGGAGAACATGTGCTTCAAGTGGAGAATGGAATTTGACGGTAAGTCACCTCCTGAGTTTCTAGACCTATTCAAAATCAAAATAAGCAATAATTATTACAGTAAGTACTGAAATGCCAAAGGGTTGAAGAGAGAGCTGTAGTACTTTCCATTTTACAATAGGTCAAACGTTATGGTAGTTTCCATTTGCTAGTGTAGTATTCATAGTATACTATACCGGGAGTTAAAACGTTCAAATATCTCGTCTGTTTTGTTTCCGCCAGACGAGGAGGAGGGGCTACACGTGTGGACCAGGGCACACCTGCTACTCGGGACTCTGGCGGGAAACATCCACGCCACCGACCCCGCACGGGCAGACAAGATCATAGACCGGCTACATGGGATGGTGGAGATTCACGGTGAGCAAACTCATCTTCTCTCTCTTAATTTAGATGTGCGTGCGTGTGCCTGTTTGGAGATCACGTATGGTTACAACATAGATCAAGATATATTCTGTAACTTGAAGTGGCAAAATCTTAAGATTACCCCACTAAATCTCATGGCAACTGCAAAGATTTGTAGGAAAGAGAGAGGATGGCACTTAGAAAGATATAGTGGTTCCTAAAACACTAACTACCGTTTGCCTGGATGCCTAATCTTCGAGAGCCTTTGAGACTAGGACTATACAAGCTTTAAGATATCCTGGCAATGATCTGCAATAAACCAGTAAGTCGTTTTCTAAAGATCCCTGGAAGCACCGGCAACTGAGATCCACCCTGACAGAAGATGAGTACAACAGTCACCTACACGAGAAGGCGACCTACCTGGGCGCCCTGGGAAACGCTGGGATGGACAGGTCCTATGACCTCCTCCTGTCCTACATGAACACTACTGAAGCACCCTCCGAGCTGAAGAGAACCAGCCTGACCGCACTGAAAAGCTATGACCATGAGAAGGTACGCAAGACTCATCTTTGTTTGTTTTATTAACGTGCATCGCTGTCCCCTATATGCAAAAATGGTTTATCTTGCTCAAATCTCCTCCTTATACATATGAGTTATGTTTGAATCTGTTTGCATTGTTACTTTGTGTACTTAAATCACAGGCCCGCAAGACAGCTATAGTTGGTAGTATCTGCCTAAAATTGACAACATAATACATAGAAATGTGTGCAAAAACGATTTAAACACAAGATCATCACTAGCGTCTAAGATTAAAGAAGCTGTCCGTATTGCTTTGTGACCTTCTAATATGTTCCTTTATTGTCAAGCTAAAAATGGGTTCAGCAAAAGTAGCCTCTGTCAAATCAAATTGTAAAATCCTGTTTTAATCAGGCAGCAGAGGAGATCCTCCGTGTAGCAATAGAAGACCCTGACAGCAACGTGCGGTACGCAGCAGCTCTGGACTACCTGGGCCACCCACAGGCCTCCAAACTGTGGGAGGTTCAGCAACAAATCAACAACAGGTAAGGATTGCTGGAGATCGAATCTAGCTCCAGTTGAAGACAAACGTATAAAACACGTTTTATAAACATATTGTTTTTGCTTAAATTCCTCTTCTCCAAACGCAAAAGGTCAATGACCTGAACCAGCCGGCTGTGACTATGGTAGCTGGTGTTGGGATACATATATAATGCTGCAATTTTATAGCAGGAGGGATTTAGACATCTGTCACCGTATATATGAATGTGTTGGAGTAAGAATTAATAGATGAGACCATATGCGAAGGTAAACATTATGCATTTGCTTTGCAAATGTTACCTTTCTAGTGTTAACTTTGTAATTTGTTTTGCAAATGCTTTGCAAATGTTACCTTTCTAGTGTTAACTTTGTAATTTGTTGCATCAAAAGTATATAATCAATCAATCTCGTCAATTTTCAATGACAATTATGTTTGTCATTTTTTACATGTTTTAACAGTGATGCTTTTGATTATTGACCGTACCTAGTTACACGAACCAGACGGCCATAGCAGAAGGACGGGAAAAGAGGGGTCTGGCTGGTGTTAGAAACGTGCTGGAAAAGTTGTTTAAAGGTTTCGACTTCAAACTGGAGACGCCGAGTTACGACTGGCACAAGCGGATCGGTTCCAGCCAGATCGGCGCATCTATGGGAATCGTCATTCGGAACATGATGGAACTGATTCTGAGTGAGTGCAAGTCTCATCATCGATGATTTTTCAATCAATCAATCAATCAATCAATCAATCAATCAATCAATCAATCGATCAATCCATTCATAGCTCGCACTGTTGGGTGTCAATTTCAGCTGCATTATTCAGCAGTACGGATCGGTAGTGATGAATTTCCCCCTGGCCTTTCTGGGCTATTATGGCACTCTCTGAACATCCCCATTTTGACTTTCAGGCTTAAAACGTAAATATGCTGGTCTGCACTTCAAACTTGTTTTGCAAAGTTTCCTCCTTATTCCTCATTATATGGAGCTAGTTATCAAATATGCACACAGTTACTGCCTTTGGCAAAGGCTTTGGCATTTTGTGCTTAATAACATAAGCAAAGAGCAATACTGTAATCTAGTACATGAACACGCCACACAGCCTCATTTGCCTCCCTCCAGGGAAAGCATACTAGGCAAGGAGGCCAGAGTTCTGAGCGTGTGCGTTGTAGGTACTATCAGAAGACTCCTCTCCGTCAAAACAAAACGCCGGCCTCTCCCGTAACGCCTGTAAAGGAGGCTAATTGTAGATAGACTAATGGAGAACTTTGACTTTTTAACCCTTAACAGAACCGTTGAAGGGCAAGTTCGAGGTTGACGTTCTGGACCAGGCGTACGCGAAGATACACGTGGGGCTAATCGGCATCGACTGGACATTCCTGGACGCGAGGGTCTGTTTCAAAGGAAAGGCGGGATACGAAGTCAACATTTTCCAGGTATGTTTAAAGTTAAAACCTTTGGTCCAACACAAAACGTTCTCTCGCCTAGAGCTTTCGACCAGTCACTCTGTAGTTCACGTATCAGTGAGACTTGTCACGTGGCTTCTTTGACGTAACACTGAGTCAAAGGTACCTGGTAGACACTGTCGGCCCCCGTCGCGGTTGAGGTATGGGGTTTCCAGGTATGACAGCTTTTCTTTTGCGCGAAAATTGTACTATGGTCTGCACAGTTATAGCTCTTAAGAAATCTAAGCTTTTGACAGCCATGTATATAGTATTCATACATCTAGATCTTTATAATGTATCATACAAATGTTGAGTCTTTCCTATCACTTCTCTCGACAGGAGTTCAACTTCGATGAGGTTTTCAAACTGGTTAAACTGTTTGACGGCGTGATCAACAAGGTCGTTGGAAATGTGAAGAACAACATCATTCGTTTCAAGAAACTTCTGGGAAGGTAAGTATACGTAGTGTACATGGCAAGTGACGCCACAACAATATGTATGCATGAAATGGAAGTGGCAACAAGCAGTTATAGAAGTTCATGTTAGCAAATAGTCTTATATCATGATCACCACATTTTTCTTGTCAATGTCTGTATGCAATTAGCCCTCGGGCATGAATTTGCAATAAACAACTTATATGTGACCTTTGTCAAGAGATAAATTTGTAGATTTTCCGGGTAACTGAAGAAACTGTAACTATAGCACTCTATGAAGAGCTACTAAGAAGATGTCTGTGATCTAAATTCTTTTTGCGTCCCGGTCGGGCAGAAAAAGCCAGTAGCCACAGGGTGCCCCGTGGGGCCGCGTAGGGGTCACGCCTAAAAGTGCAAAAAAATCAACCCGGGAACTACGCGGCAGGGTCCCCTCTTCCAATTGAGACATAAGCATAAGACGATTTATGTGATTAGACGATACTTATCGCTAATCTGTTAACAGTACGACGGGCTCCATAGACGGCATCTTCAAGGACATCGTGGACGCGGCGGAGAACCTTCCCAACCAGGTGCGTGAGTTCAAAGCCAAGGCCAAAGAGTTCATCAAGAAGGTCGGGGAGTACATCAACCTGCCGCCAGCCGTGGAGAACGTCAAACAAGTGGTCCACCGGGTCAGCACGCTCATCAGTGACGTCAAGGCTGACGTCATGGAGTTCTACAATGTGAGTATAACAAAGCATGTTCCTAGCCTACTTTGAATACGTCTACATACAACATCAGAGAGTAACATGGCCAAACCTGGAAGGTGGTACAAGAAGACCTTCCAGGATAAGTGGATAACCGCGTGTATTCCAAAGAAACTAGAGTGTATTCTTTGATCCTGAACTAAGGATCTCGACAGACATGTTACTAGACCAACTAGCCCGAGATGTCGGGACGCAGGTACAGAAGATTAGACAAGAACGTGACACTTAAACTTAGTCTGGACTAGTCACCCGACGATAATGGCGATTCAATCTTTCTCCTGCTTACAGTCCATCTCCGATGCCGTTACCATCACCCTGCCGTGGGCTGCCGAACAGATCGAGAGCGGGGTGAAGATGGTGGTCTCCTCCGTCGGGAAACTCATCAAGTCACCAAAGACGGCTATTGAAGATATCTTCAAAGGGATCACGATGTACGTAGCACTGATTTGCATTTACCGTTGGTAAAAAATACGGCTCTTGGTGGCAAATGTGCAGATGTTGGCACATTGGCGCACCAAATCCGTAGTGTTTTTTTTGGCACACATTTTGACAGATAAGCTGAAGAAGCTCGATGGGCGTCACTCCACCGTAAAGTGCCTTTCCCAAGGGCACAACGTCGGGGCGCGGTGAGTGTCGAACCCGGGACCTATTGGTTCCGAGTCCAACGCTCTAACCGTTGCGCCACCGACGCCACCACCGTTGGTATAACCGAGGAATATCGGTTAGTTTCTAAGGGTGAAATATGCTCCGTGTTTATATTTTTCCGATTTCATCTCTTTATTTCAGGATCAAGTCTGCTGTGACCGGAGTCCTCAAGGCAAAGGAGCGTATCGAAAAGGCTCTCTTGTTCAAGGAAGGTATGTCTGGATTGTTAGCAATTACACTGCCGCAGGGTTTAGTCTTCTTCGTCTGTATTTTCTCGACGGCACGGGAACAAAATAGGTCTTGTTCGGATGGTCAATATTCTGTCTGGCCCTCAAATCTTTTTTCTGATATTCAGAATAAAACTCTCAGAATCATGATACCTTTTAGATTTTTGTACCCCAAGGGGTCATCTCAATACGTTGGTGAAGGTTAGACATCCAGGTAATGAGATACAAAAGGAATTGTTACTCAGGCAATTGGATAAATTTTGAAAACTGTCAGACATTCAAGTAGCATTCCTTACTTTTCGTCACAACTGGTAGTGGATGCCAGGATGCTGCTTGAAACGTCTGACAGTTTTTTAAACTTTATCCGGTTGCTTGAGTAACAATTCCTTGTGATCATCTTAATAACTAATATGCTTCATTTTGTATGACAGACAAGACGCTCCACTGGATGAACCTAAAGGACGAACTCTCACAGATATCCGATGACATCTCTACTGCGCTGAGCTCCATGCGGGACATGAACAACTGGGTGGTGCAGCAAGCGGAGTCCAACGACTTCAACAAACGTTTCTTTGGAGTCGACATCGTGAGTCATGATTGTAACTACAAGTCAGTAGGAAGCCTTTGTGAGGCACAGCATGGATGATGTAGCTTTGCATCTATCAGGCTTCGGGAAGCAGCTGGGAAGAGTATAAATTGGCCACAAAGACAGATGGTTACCACGGGAATTGGTCCGCCTTAAAAATACAGTTCGGGATCGGTAAACAGTACTCTTAACGCGGAAATGTCACACTTACATAGAGTTTAAAAAAGAGGTATTGACGCTTAGTCTATTAATGGTCATTCATTTTATCCAAGGTTACACGTGATATCGTTTTTGTTGAAACTGTGTTTTTGGCGACGTCTCAGGGGCTCGTTCACTATGCACTCAGGGGAGGATAGGGTACCAAGGCTTCCTCAAAATTAATAACTCATGGCAGTGCCATGCAAACAATAACCCTAACAGCAACCACCGTCGCCATGGCAATGTATGTTTCCATTGCCAGTCTTGTTTTGTTTTCCTTTCCAGAAAGCACTGAAAGAACAGATAAAGACAGAGTTCAGTGACTTGTTGGACGGACTCCTCGGTCCCCTGAACAAAGTGCGCCAGGTTCCCAACATGTTCCTGAATGCGTACAAGGAGACAGCTGAGATCATCAAGTCCATCAAGGAAGGCTACACGGCAATCAAAAACGGGTACGTTACCACTGCTGTACTTTACCAGTTCTTGAGTAAAGAAACCTAAAGGTAGTTCCACGGCATCCGGTATGGTTAGGCAGCAGGTAATCATCAGGTCCATCAAAGAAGGCAATCAAAAACAGGTACGTTACCACTGGTGGGCAAGCTCTGTAGTAAAAGGGGTAAAGGTAATTCGAGGGGTGTATAGGGGGCATCATTGTCGGACATAGACCAGTGACCTAAAAGGTGGTTGGAAAAAGCACTACACGAGTAGTGCCATCCTTGCAGAGGACCGCAGGAGGTAGATATCTTTAGTTAAACGCTATGCTGCCCCTACGGCTATCGAATAGCTTTGGGACCGATGGAAGGAAGGGTAGATGGGTGGATGGATGGATGGATGGATGGAATTCCAGAGCATCTGAGCTTGTAGCCTTTTTCTAAAGTAGCCTTTTGGTACTAAACTTGTAACGGTTATACAAGTAGGGGGTTAGGCAGCAGGGAGAAGGTAAATAATTTTTTTTGCTTTTCCCTATTTCAGTTACGACGAGGCAAAGTCTCTGATTGAGCAAATCTTCGGCGCCAAGGCTGACCAAGATTTCCCCAGAAAGTACCTGGAGTCGGGCTCTTGCGGGGACGGCTTCTACCCTAGCACTGGCTCAGGGCGTTACGAACATCAAGGGGTGCTTCTAGAGGCAGCCGTCGGGCGCGAAGTAAGCAATGCTCTTTATGCCTTATGTCTACCGTATCATGTAGCAGTGTCTAGTACCTACCTACTTCACTCTCCAAGCAGAGGTTGTGGGGGAATGATCGTTAGCTCTTTATATATGGCGCGTTTTTTTTTTGTCGCTACCCCCCACCTGGGTCGCGCATGGACCCTCTCTTGCCAATTGGATACTGCCTGGCTAATTTGATACTCTAGGACCCTAGAAACTTTGCGTTCCATGATAATACCTGCAACTGGTACTGACCATAGTCTCAAGCTAATTCACATAGTTTTACCACATTCTTTCTTTTACAGATTGGCGCTCCCTTTTCGGGAATTATAAAAAGGTCCGGCGACAACCAGGTGACAATCACGACGGATTCGATGGAGAAACTAGAAGTCATCATCAACAACGTGGATCTCATACCTGAGAAGGAGCTGAAACGAGTAAGGCGATCTTCCAGTTGTGTTGATCATTAGCAATTAAAAGCATAAACCTACTTAGACTATGTACTGCCAAAAAGTATTTAATCAAGCAACTGGATATGACTTCGGAACGGTCAGATGTTTCATCTAGTATCTACTAGCTTTCGTCAGTGACTGAGAGGCCAGAGGAGAAATGCAGGTTTATAAGCACAACCTATTGATTGAATTTCTCCTATGGGCTCTCAGTCTCTGACCGTTCCCAAATCATATCCAGTTGATTGAGTAACTGCTTTTTGGCGTATCTTATTACCTGAATGTCTAACCTTCATCAACCTACTTAGACGTATCTACCAGCCAACTTTACGGGCCCCAGTCATCTCCACTGAAGTCAAGCTGCGTAGACTATGCCTAAAAAAGTTGAAAAACGATCGCGTCTTGATGACGCCGATCCAGATTTGAAGGCTGTCCAGCCTTGGTCTTTACCCATGTAATATACTATGTAAAAAAATTATTGTGTCCATAACCACAGGTCTTCAAGGGAACCCTGATTGGCACAGTGTCGTCCTCCGCCTGCCAGCCTAACCACATCCACCTGGCGATCAGGAACACGGAGTCCGGAGGTCTGGTGGACCCCACACGCTTCATGGAGAAGAGAGACATGGTGGTCCCGAGCTGGGAACAGGAATGTGGGGACTGGAACCTGGTATTCAAGGTACAGTCAACCCTTCAATTTTGATAACATCATATCCGCACAGTTTTTGATTTGTAGTCAGAAAGCAGGTTACCTATTGTGCCGCTGGAGCGTTTGTGGCTGCTGCTTGCAAAGATAGTAACGCAGGAAGTAGAATACGATTGGGGTGTTATCAATAGTATTCAGTACAAAAACATTGGCAAGAAAAACATTGGCAAGATTTGTTGCTTCCGTCGGAACCACAGTTCTTTGTTACATTTGTGATATGACGAGTTTAAAATCAAGATTTATTCTTTGTAAATACGTAAGATACCCCGATACTGATTGCGAATGTCTCTCTGTCTTCGTGATATGTTAAAGAACGAAGTCGTTTCCAGAGGGAAGTTTGGAAAATCAAAAGAAGAGGACAAATCACCAGCAAGAGTGGAACCGGACATTTCTGATCTCGCCACGGAGTTCTCCGACGTCAACGAAAGAAAGAAAAGGGACGTTGGAGAATGGTTTGGCCAAGCAAAGGGTAAGGAAAGCATGAGAAGGAAAGAACGTCAACAAGATTTTCCAAAATTTCTAACAGTGATATCCTATGTATTCTAAAGCCTTATGGGGTGCTCTCTCTCTCTCTCTCTCTCTCTCTCTCTCTAATATACATATATATATACATGTATAAAAGGGCATGTAACTTCAACTTTGTGATGCAAGCTATGCATCCCAGCTTCTGATATATATACACATGTATTTAAGAGAAAACCTACATTGGTTTGTTCATTTTTCCTATCCTAGATTTTGTCAGCAGTCTGGACCTTCCCGACTTGAAGGAGACTGTCTCGCTGCTCGACTTTGACTTTGACTTCCGGAATCTGAAACTCTCCAAAGTGTTCGAGTTCATGACGTCTTCTGGACTGACGGATACCAAGGCCAGGCTTGAACAGACAGTGGAGGGGCTTCTGGTTAGTAGAACCAGTACTTAACGTCCTTGGTAGAAGCAATTACGAGGATGTAGAATTACATACTTCATTTATGTACACACAACCCTTTCTGATGACCGAGTGGTTGCCATATGTTCATATAGAGTAGACCTTTTGAATCAACAAAAAGTTTTGCTACCATTTCTCTTAATCCTAGTGAAACAAGATGCTATCCAAGAGATGTCTGTAAATTGTTGTAAAGATATTAAGTACACGATGCATCTGTGTTGTTATGTTCGAGCTTTTCCAGATCACTAGAGAGTTTTAAACAAATCCTGCAGTTAGATGTGCAATGTTTGGATGTAACAGGTCGTTCGGTGTGACATAGCTAGCTTCCGCCGCGCCGCGTGCCTGCGAAGCTGATGTGTCACGCCGAAGGACGGTTATACCGGCTATACAGTACATGTACAGATACAGATAATCTGCTAAGGTAGCAAGACTGGCTTACGTTTTTTTCGTTAACTTTAGGACACTCTTAACCAAGAGAAGACGTCCTGCCAAGTACCAGATACACTCGATACCTCCGCACTGAGGAGAATTCTGCGCGACGGAGGGAACCCCGCCACCGGTTCCAGAACCACGCTGCTCAAGAACTACAGGACACCTGAAAACCGTGTGTACTTTTACCGGTCATATCGTCCTTATACCGCCCCATAGTATTGTGTCTATGGTGTGGTGGCACGAATGTTCGTCAAGAGCTTCCGCCGATGATGATGACAAAGTAATATGTTGCAATGGTAGATATACTGAAAATGTTTCACAGAGTGTTGCCAGATTGAAGTATTGATTTGTTTGTTTGTTTGTTTGCTTTCAAAGATTTTCTTCATTTATTCTTCTTAAGAGAACATATCTCTCGGAACATGCACTGTTTCTTCGTTAAAGATTTTCTTTTTCTTTTACATCAGGATGTCCCAACTTAAGAGAGTATCTACCCAAGAACATGCACTGTTTCTTCGAGGACAACTGTCTAGGCGTGACCTGCTGTGTGGAGCTGAACCTTGCCTTCACCAGACAGACCGTCAGTGCCTTCGCCATGATGGACCCATGTAGCAAGCAGTTGACGCTAGGATTGGGGTCATGGAAGAAGACTTTCGACATCAGCGGCCCCAGATTCGGTACACTTTTAATCTGTCAACTCGAATTGAGGTGTTCAAAAACTCGTATTTTCCCAGAACTATTCGCCACCAAGCACAGTTGGGGCATCATCACTGAAAAGTGAAAAGCTTTAAACAACTCCTGTAATTAGACGTGCAACGATTGGACGTAACAGGTCGTCCGGTGTAATATAGCTAGCTGCCGCCGCGCCGCGTGCCTGCGAATCTGGTGCGCGCCGAAGGGCGGTTATACCGGCTATTTATATGCTCATTGTTGCTGTACGCTTTCTATTAAGCTGCATTTCTTTTAAAACAGCGGCTGAGGATATTGGACCAATAGAAGGAAACCTGCAGATTCTCGACCTCGCGCAAGTGGTCTTCAAGTACAAAATGGTCGCGATTCCAGATGGAGTGGAGGTAAGAAAATCAACAAAACATTTTGAATGCTGATATAGTAGGCTATGGTTCATTTGTCTGTAGTCACTCACTCACGATCACGCACTCTCTCATTCACTGGCTCGTTCACTCATTCATTTACTCATTCATTCATTCAAAAAGTAACCAAACTATCTTTCAGCTTACCTTCCAAGTAACGCTGTGCTCCGTACGTGACGACCTGTGCCTTCCCTACCAGAGCATCTTTAGTAGGACCAGACTTCAGCTGGGCACCTGCCAAACAACAGCGCTGGCACCGTCTGGGAGAAAGAGAAGTGGGCATCTTTGTTTTCATTAACTACAACGTAATTCAAATGCTCTGCAATAACAGTTAGGAGATGCAAAACTACATTAAATTAATAAATATGCAAGAAATACAAAGCTGGCAAATCGGGGACACATGAAATATTCCATCTTGTTATTTCAGGTAGGACTTGGGTAAAGTGACCTATATCTTATAAATTGTTTTTTTTTTCTGTTACGCCAGGCATTGCGGATTTGGAGAAGTTCTCACTAGGCGACATTGAGAAGCTGATTGATGAAGTCAGTATGACTGCAGATGAGGTCACGAAGGTCATCAAGGAACTGCGAACACTTTATCGTGATATGGTATGTAGCTACTCTCCAAGCAGATGTTTGGGGGTGTTTTGGGGGGCCTTCCTTTTTGCAATCAGTCTGGTATCTTTCTTTTTACGCCAACCTAACAGCATATTGGAAGAACGCGCTACGCCAATCAGTCAATCAATTTCTGTATTATTTGTTCCTCTAAGGCTATAGACGCCATTGACAAAACTCTTCACAAAGTCTTCAAGGACCAGTTCACAGCTCTGGACAAGTTTCTGACGTTCAAAATTCCATTCGGGCCAATGGACGTGAGCTTCTTCGAGTACCAAGTCTATTTCATGCTTGGACCGATTCCCATGGTTTTCCGTAAGTATTGTTTCTTACTGGAACTTGCTGCCACCAAAACATCCTCACTAGGTACCTTTATCAGTCAGCTTTAACTGCCACACCAATCTCGTGTTTTACGCCGAAAGGCGGTTATATCAGCTATATAGATGCAGATACCATTTATGTTTACAATACTACTGTAATAGTAACTTTATATGTAGTATATTATGTAATGTAAACAAGGCTAGAGACAAAAGAAAATACTAATATCCTTCTGGCTAGTACTACTATATAGTGTCACTTTACTAATCAGAAAACCCTAGAGTGGTAATTCCTAGGCATTTCCGGCCTTATATTTAGAACGACTGACTTAACGTTGTGAATTTTGGAGCCAAACATGTCATAACTAACTATAAACACGGTCTGGATTACAGGTTTCGGAGCTGGAGGGAGCTTTGGCCTGATATTCTCCACAGACGTGAAACTGCTTTCAATGAAAGCCGCTGTGAGTTTATCTTTGCAATCATTTGACGCCGATTTCAGTATCGTTTACCTAAAATAATGTGCATGAACAGCTATAGCTAGCTTACTTTGTGTGTCTATGTAATATGCACAACGGTTATGAGAATTTGTCAAATGTGCTTTTCGCTGGCCTGCAACAAATGTTTTTCTTATGCGTACTGATGCAACTTAAGCGCTGTGAAGATCAAACAAGTAGTAGACTATACGGCTAGGGACTGTGCTACTTGGAGATATCGTACAGAGAGGGGCAAGGGGCCAGCTTCTGGTCTTGGCACTTAGACATCTAGGCATGCAGCAGCTACTGACACATACAAGTAAGCTGTATTCCTTTCGGAGCAACTTTTGAACTATTAACCAATTGAAAATTCCTCTATTAATATCATATCCCTTTCAGGTAAGAGTGACGCCCACTGTGGGCGCCCAGGTCTGGGGTAGTCTTGGCATTTGGCTCGGTCTTTTCGAGGGGAGGCTCCTAATGAGAGGCTACATCATGACCACGTCTTTTCCCTGCACGGCGGAACTACAGTTCACCAAGTTTCCCTTGGATGTGGGGTGAGAGAGTGGCTTCTTTTGTTTGTATGTTTACAGGTGTCACTAGATCTAAGTCTGCGCTACTATAATTAGATTGAAATAAAGAAAATCATCTCCCTGTCTTAGTCTGAGGAAAATCTATCTACAAGTGAGGCAAGAAGCAAAACATGGCGTCAGAAGTGGGATCCAATACTTGACCTGCCTTATCTACATAGATATGTCTGATTATATGTTTGGCATCAGCACAACGTTAACATGTCAACATTTCGAGCAAAAGAAATCAAACTTACCCAAATTTTGTACAACTTGGTCTCCAGTCTTTGGACTGAGCAATGCACCTCTTCTGTGATGTCAACATACCCTTCCAGCACTGACAAGCCAAAAGCCGTAGTCACTGTGATATAGACAGAGAAGTACATATAAAATCATCAGTAATCTAATTTTATCAATGCTATTTTCCAGGATCCGAATGGACATGAACTTGGTTCCCCTGAGGCTGGAGCTCCGTGGTATCCTGGAGCTGACCATACCCCTGATCTTCAAAACCATAAGAAAAACCCTGATCAACAAACTGATCTGGCAGTACTCCACTCCGACAATCCACGCCACGATATTCGCCATCAACTCAGACGAACCGGATAAATCGCCTCCTGACTTCAAGGTTTATTCAGATGTACGTGCTTTATCAAAAATGATTACTTAGCAAATAGGTACTTATAATTAGTAACAGATATCATTAGTACAATGTACCTTTGACTGAAAGTTAGGTTTGGCATCGTAAGTACATTTGTAGTCTAGCTTTGTGGTCTAGCAACATAACTGTCATGGTATTTGGTAGGTGATAAGGTATTGGTAAGTATTGATAAGATTTTGGTTTCCCCTTTCCTCCGTCGACGTGCTATGTGCATTTTTCGATGATAAAGGTTAGACATCCAAGTAAACTATATCTAAAGACCGTTCAAGCTCCGTCACTCTTCTTCAGTGTCTAAAATGAAATATGTGCATTTGTGCAGCCAGACGAGCTGCCCAGACTACCAACTCAGGCAACTGCATCGTGAGGCAGCAATAGGGCCGGATAGTAGAAGCTAAATGAAACCTCTGACTCCTAAGGAAATTTATCTACTACTGGATTGCTTATATTATGTTAGGTGATGCTCGACCTGAATGTCTAACCATTGTCGACATACTATATTTATACAGCCGTTTGAAGAAGGCGTGGAGGAACGAGCTGCCCAGACGACCACCAACTGCATCGTGAAGCAGCAGTACGGGCGGGACTACACGGAGCCGGCCTTCCTGCTGGAGCTGGCCGTGGATGACGACAGGAGCGAGGTGGATCTCACCTACTCCGTCGGCGTCACCAGGGGAGGCAGCGACCAGGTGCTGAATCAGCCGCTGGGAGGTTTCACAACCATAGTGGCACAGGTATTCTTGTTTTTTCTTTATATAATATGCTATTGTAAGCAATGGATTCTGGATACTGGTTATTTCTTAAGGCTTGCGCTTCTCGTCTAATACCGGAAATGTTCACTCACCACTTTTCAACCAGTCCGTCAGCCTTTTTAAGGTATTGAAACATGTTGAGAGGGTCAATTTTCCTGACAAAGGCCGAAGCGGCTGTGAAAAAAATTTGGCCAGTCTACATTTCCTATGTCTGAAAACTTACATTTTGATATGAATGATAAGCTAGCAACACAAATAGGCTTCCTGAAGACCTTGTGGATGCTGGCATTGTACAATGCCAATTGTGTGTTGCAGTATTGCACAAACAACTTCCCGCTTTATTGTCTGTGTGCAAAGTAAGTAACGGTCAAATTTCTTAATCCGAAGGTTCTCCGGGGAGGAGTGCCTCTGTACTTCACCGTGACGGCCACCAACTCGGCCCAGCAGACCTCCCTGGTCACGTGTGAGCTGCCGACCTATGACGTCACGCTGCCAGGGGGCAGGGTCACTCCCGACTTCCTCTCCACCAGCCATCCCGGCATCCTTCGCGCGTCAGCTGTCGCCTTGGACGACGCAGCTCTAGTAAACCAAAAGGCAAGAACCAAACTTATACTCTGTTTACAATGAGCCCTGCAAGATAGTCATTATACCGATACTGGTACCCTCGGAAATACTTAAGGTTAACAATGCATGTGTGGTGCGTGACGTCAGGGGTGCGTGACGTCAGGGGTCAAAGTTGCCCAGAAGTCGATATCGTCTGCCGTCCTACTTCAGATATGGTTAATGGGCTCTTACTTCACACTCCTTCTATATTTGAAGAGGTCAAGAAATGTAAGCCATGATTTCTAAGAAGTTGAATACAGATGTGCTTTCGTTTTGGTTGTTCAATGCCTGTTTTCGTTTTGCGTAGGAAGCGGTGGGGTTTGGACGGAAGGTGTACGGTGACCAGGTCGTCTCCTGGAGGGACATCGAAATCAGCAAAATCCAAGTGGACATCAGCATCGGACATGATCCACACGACACCCGCAATCTGGAGTACTTTGCAGCGCCGCGTCTGGGTGAGCCATTGTATGCATGTCTTGACTGTGGTGAACATCTTCATAATCACAGTCCTTCGTTTTGGTTCAAGGACTGCACACTATGATTTCAACAAACACAAACAAGCTTGAGCAGCCATCAAATTCATAGAGATACATAATAGTTGCGCCAAGTCTGTCCGCTACAATTTCGGGTACGTATTGGCTAAACTGCACCAGGGATCTGCTGACTGGTATTATCAGTGCTCCATCCATAATTGTTGAATTGAGCCTGATAAAGATTTATTGCCCAGTTATCATAGTGTTCAGAAAGGTTTAGCATCAATCTTACTAAGAGATATTGGATCCTCATCACCACCAACCCTCCTGCTAAGTAAATGGTCTATCCTGTTTATTTCCAGGGCGAGTCCTGTCCAAGCCTCACCACATCGCTCACTACCCGTACGCGCAGAAGTGTGCCCGGGACTGCTTGGCTCTGCCCGCCACAAAATGCCTCAGCTTCAACTATGACTACAGCGACGACGGGCGATGCGAACTTCTGGAGGAGATAGAGGGACATGGCGTCGTCATGTACACGGTAAAGGCGGCTAACGTTGTATCTTGTATCATAGGAACTAAACGAAAGGGGCTTTACCAAGAAGCTGGTGTCTTACGCTGAAGAGCGGTAGTTGGCCGTCATCATGTTGGCTGGCTAACAAGATAACTCTCAAGATATTGGAGCTTACTGGTATTGATCTAATAACGAAATATGAAGACTATTGCCTCGTGGTTTTTGCAATATATCCTTCATATTCATTATGATTTCTAAGTTCAAAGGCGTTCTAGTTATGGATCAAGTCGATAGACTCTAGCATACAATAACTAGTATGTTTTCTGTGTCATTTCTTAAAAAATATAACGTCCTACCTAAGACAATGACAGAATATATGTTCTCTTGTTCAAAGGACGGTATATTCCACAACTTCGAACGCCTGGGTATCGGCCATGCCGTGAAGGTGGTTCACGAGGACTTGAGTCTGGTGCACGATCACCTGTACTACTACAACCTGTTCCTCAACAACACCGTGGGTAAGTCATATAAATCAAGCCATGGGGCTATTAAGCCTTGAATTGTACAGATAAGGCCTTAAGGTTATCAGGATGATCACGTTTATTGTGAACACGTCGTTTAGTTAATATGGATGTTGTCTGGTCCTTAGTGGTTTACATATCTCTACAATCTCTAATTGCACAGAGATGTCTCTTGATGTGGGAGTACAAGAGTACGTTTGCAATTAACTTAGTATGAGGTATGCTTGAGGTGTGGATCTCCTATCCCTATCCTATCCGTGAGGACGTCCATAGTCAAAGCTATGTGCTCATTTTCACCTGCCTTGGGTGAGAAAATATGTGTAAAATTGCCGTCCCAATGGCACAACACTAGGGTCCATTAGGGATTCAAACCCCAAGCCTTCAGATTCTGAATCAACAGCCCTAAACAGACGCTTAAGACTGTTGAGTTTGATGAATGTTGTCTAGTCCTTCACGTTGCTAATTGCAGGTGTGAATGAGCATCTAGCTTCGGTTATGGACGCCATTTCGAGCTCGGATAGGACTGAAGGTCCAGGGCTTAAGGAGAGTCACACCTTAGTCACACTAACCAAGAGAGAAGGGTTCTTCCCGTGTGAGTGGTTCAAGCATAACAGTCTGGTCTCAGCAGGTTTGACAAGTTAAAACGTTTTCCTATGAACTGTACCCAGGCTACACGAACATCCTGACGTCTACGCCTGTGATAGCCGACTTCGTCCCGCCGTCCCCCGGTCCGCTGGCGAACGTCAGTCATGACGTCACTGCTGCGGAAGTGTGTGAGGAGTTCGTACCTGACGAGTGGGAGGACAGATGTGTGGAGCAGACACCTCTGCCCAACCACAGGTACGACGTAGTACTTTCTACTTCCGCTTAGTAAAACGTAGGACATTGGGGTTTCCTTTCACACAACCGGTAGAGACACTAATATCTGCTTACATTTTCAATAGTCTATCAGACACCTTCCTTAGAGCTTCAGATTGGAGTGCTGCTTCTTACCGCTACATGTAGCCAATGTAGGTGGCACCTATGCGGCGAGAACACAGTCCCAAAAGTTAACATATACTTTTTGCCTGCAGTGTACTGCTTTGTCTTTTTCTTTCATTTCTTATGATCTCAGTATAACATATCCAGAAAGTTCAGAACTTCAAACGAACGGTGCGACTGTGACTGCCCAGAACAACAAAACAACAACGTGTTGTAACGGTCTTTATCCTGGCTGTATGAAGAGCGTATGGTGAGCTGCTAGTAAGTCTTTATCTCATCCATACAGAGCCATCACAGACGGAGAGGGGTCCAGGACTGTGTTCAACGGGAACAAGCCTCTGGAAGACCTGCGCTACTTCCGGCCAAACACTTACGTCACAGGTAAAGTATTCTGAGATGTTCATCAGCTATAGCCTATGTGCTATCCTGGGAAATGAACTTGCGCTGTGGTAAACCAGTAGTTGCAGACTATCACAGTGTACCAACTCATATTTACAAAGATTATTAGAAGTTTCGATTCCGTAGGTATTTGCTAGTAACTCTACGACCTGAATTTGAACTTCTTGTAGATAGAGACCTTCTTTTCGATATAGCTACATCTACATCTATGTTTAAGCCAGTCATGTTGCAAATAAATCTTATTTATAACACAATTTCATTCTCCAGCCAATTGGGACGGTTTCCACGACAATGAGACGGGTATTTTCGGGTACACGTGGACCGTAGGGACGGCCCACTGTCAGGATGACGTCCACCCGCACAAGGACCCGCACTCTCACCTGTACGGGGAGGACGAGTGGACACACCAGGGGCTAGCTTACCCACTGGATCTGGACGGTGAGTTTGATTTGGAATCAGTTTGAGTATGTTTTGGGTTGAACAAAAATCAGAAAATCGTTTGGTGGGAGTATACGCGAGATTTGAAGAAAACTAGCAGAAAGTAAAAATGGAGAAGAAGTAGAGCAAAAGCTAGGCACTAGGACACAAGCCAGATGCAGGCAAGGACGCGCGTACCCTGTGGATATGGAGTGTGACTATACAAACAGGCAAACCTGCCTGTACTAGTGACCACTTAAGCAACTTGAAAGACTTGTAGATTGGTACAGACAGCGTTCTTAACACTAAGATCAATGTGCAAAGTAATGCAAGGGACCGCTATATAGTGGACACGATGGTTAGGTGGTCCTTATACTAGTAACTGATATCGTCCTTTCTTCAGTCAATAATAGATTGCTTTTTACTCATACAGATGGATTCTACCACGTGTCCGTCCGGGCCTTGAACAAGATTGAATTCGGTGGCCCCTTAGCGACAACCGTGTGCCACAGCAACCCCTACGTCATCGACACCACGCCTCCCTTCGTCAACCACGTCGAGCTCATCAGCTATGACGAGAACACCTACGAACTCATCGTGGAGTACAACGTCAGGTAAGGACCATAAATGATTTCTATGCATCTCGAGTCCTCGTCATTTGATTACAGTCTAACATGCTTATAGTGAGCACTCAAGGGACTGGAGAAAAGGTTACCTTAGACATGAATCTAAAGACAAGAGTCTCAAGGGCCAGTGAAAAGTGGCGACGATGAACAGGTCAGCTATGTGAAGGAGTAACACCAGTACAGGTTTGACTTGATTATACCCTTACAGTATTAAGCAATTCCTTAGCTTTGCAGGAAATGATAGAAGGTTCTGTTTAACATTCAGTTAAGGCAGTAACTCTAAAACTTGGAAACAATGGGTATCTGAGTCTTATACAGGGTGGCCAACATAGAATACTTCCATAAGCTTTATGGAGGCCTCGAAGAAGACCTAAGGTTCTGTCATAGATTCAACGAAACTGGCCCCTTGATAATGTTAAACTCTGTATTAACTCTAACACGGTCCCATCGTTGTGATTTCAGCGACCCCCTGTCCAACATCCGGGAGGTTGACATCGGGCTGGGGAAGAGTCCCAGGGACGTGTTCATCAAGGACTGGCATCGCCATGACAACCGGACCCACGTGATCATGTTCTTCCGCATTCCGGACGGCATCCCGACGTGGATCAAAGTCAGGGCCATCAACAACGGTAAGGGTCGACTCTACAGTGATGCACACCTAGGTGCAAGGACACATTATCTCCCTTGATAAAGACAAGGCCTAGGAACGTACTAGGCAAATGGCTAGAAATTTGGGCAGAGTACTAGGAACTAAAGCAAAGGTCTATGAGCTTGAGCAAAGCACTAGGGACTTAGAGGATTATGAGCTTGGGGAAAGGAGTAAGAACTTAGGCAGAGGACTAGGCACTTAGGCAGAGGACTAGGAACTTATTATAGGCAGAGAACTAGGCACTTGGGCAGAGGACTAGGCAATTGGGCAGAGGACTAGGAACGTAGGCAGAGGACTAGGAACTTAGGTAGAGAGCTGGGCACTTTGGCAGAGGACTAGGAACTTGTGCAGAGGGCTGGGCACTTGGGCAGAGGACTAGGCACTTGGGCAGAGGACTAGGAACTTATGCAGAGGACTAGGAACTGATACGTTTTCTACCTTGTCTGTCTAGTGGACCTGCGGGCATCCGGCCATTACCGCAGACCGCTGATCGTGGACACGACTCCGCCCATTCCGGGTACCGTACATGACGGGGAGACGTACAGCAGGGACCGGGACTACCAGTCGGACGGCACCCGGGTCTGCGCCAGCTGGAAGGACTTCCACGATGAGGAGAGCGGAATAGGTAAGGTTTTGTTCACTTAAGATTTCTACGAACGTCCAATGATCCTTGACTCTCAATTGCCTAGCAAAAATCCTAACCTATCCGATAGATGGGTTATAAAATGAGTGATGCTGGTATTTATTTATCTGATATTTGACAAGATTAGTGTTAAAGAGGGGAGGACTTACACAGGATTTACATGATGATGTTCAGTGCACCAGTGTATTACCAAGCCATCAACGTATATCTATCTATATTTTAAGTGTCGTTCAATGTATTATGAGCTTTCACCGTTGTGTTTCTACCTGCTATTGTATGTCTGCAATAAGGCTTATATCTAACAGGTGGATAATGTTTTTTCCAATTGTGTTAGGATTTTACTTGTGGGGCGTGGGGACGGAAATTGGCGTTGTCGACATCGTCCCGTTCCGTGAGCTCCCCCACACGCAGCACGAGACCTGTGCCCAGCTGAACCAGACGCTGCAGCACGGCGTGACGTACTACACCACCCTGGTCGCCTTCAACATGGGGCACGCCATGAAGAACGTGTCGGTCTCCAGCGATGGAGGTACGGAAACTGTTTTATCCAGAACTGTTCTAGTTCTGTGCCTGAAGGGGTTAGGGTCAGAAACAGGCATGGTTATGGATAGTCTCCGCGTAATCCAAGATGCGGTTCTTTCCTCCAATTATGGTTTTTATATGTGGGGTGTGGGGATGGCAATCAGCCGTTGTTGGTTGAGGTACGGAAAGCCTTTCGACGTTTTAAGATAGCCGTCTGGAGAATACTTGTTACCTAAACCAGATGACAAATAACAATCTGAAAATTCATGTGTTGGTAGCCGTTGCGGGACAGGCCATACCAAAGACTTGAAAATTGCACATATTTCTTACACTGCCTAGCGCTGAGCTCTTACTAGAAAGAGTGCGGGAGTTGAATAGAATACACCATTACCAGTGGACTAACCCCTGTATACATGTATGTAGCGGTCTGTGTGGTCAAAGGACCAAAGCAAAGGAGATAAGCACTGTCTCTAGACATCATGTGGAAAAGGTTTTGACTTTTTACTCTAGGTCTGTTATAACAATTTTCGTTGTTCCCAGTGATGTACGACGCCACTCCGCCAGAGGAGGGCTGGGTGAATGACGGTCTCGATCCTAACCATGACGTCACCTACTCGTCTGAGACCGCGACTGTCAGCGCAAACTGGGATAACTTCACGGATCCGGAGTCTGACATCGCCGACTACGAGATTACCGTGTGGAGAAAACATTCCAGCAACGGTATGTAGATCTTATTACTTCTTAGCTTACTCAGTATATTTATCAAGAAATCCCCAGTGTTATACTAGATTAGGATGGATGGATGGATGGGTGGGTGAGTGAGTGAGTGAGTGAGTGAGTGAGTGAGTGAGTGAGTGAGTGAGTGGATAGATGGATGGCTAGATGGATGGATGGATGGACGAATGGATGGATAAATGAATTGGCTAGATGAATAGATGGTTAGATTGGTGTGTGGATGGGTGGATGGATGAATGGCTAGATGGATAGATTGGTTTGTGGATGGGTGCATGGATAGATGAATGTATGAATGCAAATATGTATGGATGTATGGATGAATGGATGGCTGAAGGGTGTAAGATGACAAACCAATACGCGTTCGTAATGCTTAATTGATATTTTCCTTCTTGTTGCTTGCAGGTAACAGCAGTGCCGACACTTCTCCACACGTGATCCACGAAGCGACCTCTGTTGGAAAAGAGGCGCACCGCATCAACTGGCATCACTTCCACCTGCACGACGGAGATTTCGTGTATGTCGTTGTAAACGTCTCTAACGGAGCCGGCGGGGTTGTAGTGACAGAGTCAGATGGGTTCACCATGGACACTACACCTCCACTCATGCGCTTCATTGGAGATGGTAACCAGCAATGGACGGACCTTCAGTACTCGGTAAAATATCATCTTATACTGGAGGAAAGGGTTGAAAGAAAATAGCATTTGTTTGGTGATTTGTGCGGGTGGTTCTATCAGGTATAGAAAAGTATGTAGCGTCAAGCAAAATATCCGGTTGGTTGAAAGTTGGACTGTTCATTGGACTAAATGGTAAAACAGTCCTTGCAATGCATAAAGCATATTGGTTGCCTATAAAAAAACATGGACAACAACGCTTTTGTTTATTTTCACAGCCCAGCATCACGCATCTCTCAGTGAACTGGGAGTTCGAAGATCCCGAGTCAGGAATCGACCACTACAAACTAGCCGTGTTCCAGCACCATGGCGGAACTCGTCTGCAGATCTACCCGGCAAAGAAGTAAGTTAACCCGTTGTACCCTTCTGCTTCAAGTTGGCTCAAGTACCAATTCGTTACCTTAGTTATTGTGTCGCCAATGTTTTTTTTCCATTAACTTGTTTCTTGGATAGTTGATGAACGGCATGCCTCAAGAAGCTATGGGCTCTGTAAAATCTTGATAGGTGCTACGGTCTTGACCTAATGGACAATGATTAAAGTTTCCTCCCATAATATAGGGCCACCTCCTGGAATGTTGGAGGAATTCTATAGAATCTAGATGACATTTGAACAAACGCTGTAACAATTACAACTAGCATCATGCATATGTAACGTTAACGTAATAACTGTATCTCTCAATTGACAAAGATTATTGGGGTGTATACTACAGTACTCCACAAATACCTTCATCAGCATATGGTTAAAGAAGCCGCATTGCAACAGCAAAATTTTTTAAGGTACAAATGTATCCTGTGTTGAAAAGGAACTCCTGGGTGACTGTTGACGGAAGCGCTGACGGTTGGACCAACAGCGACCCGCTGAATCTTGTACCAGGCGCGCGGTACAATGTGCGGGTGTCTGCAGTTAACGGTGCCGGGCTGACCACTACACACGACACGGACGGCATCACCGTGGATCCTACTCCACCTTCGGTTTGTCTAGTTCCCCTTTCGTTGTATCACCATTCGAGTATGCATGCTACTGATACAATACTACGTTTCGCTTAGTAAACACATGGTGCCAGGGCTTGCTTGACTCATTCAACCACTTGCGGATGCTGCTCGGAAGAGTCAAGATGCCATGTTAATAGTTCCAGAGGCCAATGATGTAGCTATCCATTGGCCAAGAGTAGGTTCGAATTCCCACAGAACTCATACTTTCTCTAAACCTTCATCTTTTCTATCTGCCCTTTTTTTGACAAATTACTATGTATCTTTGTATAACACGCTATCAGGACTTCCACACTGCTTATTGTTGGATCAAAACTAAAACAATCCTACCTACCACTATAGAACCTGCACGTTGCCGTTGATGTGATGCCTGGAGAGCTGGAGGAGTTGCATGATGGGTACATTCTACACATGGACCTGTCCGCCATCTTGGTGTCCTGGCGGGCCACAGACGGGGAGAGCAAGGTCATGGCGTACTGGGCTGCTGTGGGGACGTCACCAGGTGGGTACAACCTGTAAAACAATGCCTAGACATTAGACGTCGTGCTCAATGTTTTGGCACAATCTAATGAGGTAGTTGTTGTGTAGTTGTGTTCTTCGATATTGATGTACATTTTGTACTTTGGATGAATTATTGGAGTTGGAGTTGGTAGAAATGGAGTTGATGCCAATACCAATGTCTGCAATTTGTCTGCAGTTTGTCATTTTCACACATTTCAATCTTAGCATTATGATTTGAGGGAGGCAACAGAATCACTTACAGTTGGCTATATATTAGTAGAGTCATAGCTGGATAGACCCAAGATAATGTTCCATGTATTAGGGATGTTGGATGTTTTCTGCTTATTTTAAGGTGCCACGGACGTCTTGCCGTTTGAAAACATGGGAGCTGACAGAAGCGCCTACATCAACAACCTGCAGCTGCAACTCTACGACGAGACCACCGGATCTCCCGTGTACTATGTGACGGTCAAGGCTCAGAATGGAGCTGGGGCATTTTCAACGGAGGTTGTTTCAAGGTAGTTAAAGCAACTTGCTTTTTTTCTTATTTTTGTGTACCGTGCATCCATTCTATGTCCGATCCCCTACTAGACACTGGTAGTAAAGATCATATCAAGATTCGATGATGAATAGTGCCAAATATCTAAATTCAAAATGCCAAAACAATTTAACTTTAAAGCAGGGATGTTATATACTTTTATCATGAATTGTCTGTGGATAAGACAACGTAAGGCAGGCCATTCTGTGATCCTACATAGTAACTGTTTACAATGTATATCTTGTCAACGTTTGTGTTTAATAGTAAGAAAACAACAAGCTAGCAATGCCAAACGCAATTAGGTACCTAAACTACAGTGGGGTCGTGTGGCGTAGCGGCAGAGTGCACGATTCGGAAGTAAGAGTCCCGGGTTCGACTCCTGACATGCCACCGATCTTGTGCCCTTGGGAAAGGCGCTTAACACGACTTTCCTCATTTAGCTCAGGTGTAAATGAGTATTGTATGTAATGAGTCCTGTCATGTATTTGTCCCCTGTGTTGGTGGCGGCATCAATATGTGTCGTGTGTGTCGTCACCACGTCTGGTGATTATATGTTGGAATAAAAAAAAACTACAGAACATTTACACTCAACGCAACTTCTATCCCAGCCCCATTAAGGTAGTCCCCGGTGACAAGACGGGACTGGTAGTGGACGGACCCCACATGACGGACAGTCAGGGCGATGACGTAGCAACTGTAGATGTCGACTATCAACTACACACTGGGACTGTCACTGTGCGCTTCAAGGTCAGGAGACGAGGCATTTCTCATGATTACTTTGTAACTTCACTGTGGATTTAGTCTCAATACAATTATTGTGGCTTCCTACTGGGAGACGTAGAGTGGGACGTCCTTATACTACACCTTTCTCCATTCTAGAGAGAGACACTGGTCTCGCAGGGTCTGCATTAGTGTCCGCTATGAGAGATAGGACATACTGGAGTAACTTTATCAAGTGTACCTCACCGGATTAGTATTAACTAATCCGGAGTCATGATGATGATGATGATGACAATTATTGTAAAGGATGCTTTATTCTTCGTGAACATTCAATTGGTATAGGAAACAAAGAAAATGCTTCTTGAGGCTCATGGCATCTTCTCCAAACAGAATCAGGAGTTTCTAGATCCTATTTGCTAGCGAAACATGTCATTTCTGTCTGCAATAGGGTTTTGAGAGCGCGAGGCATGGCATTGTGCACTACGAGTGGGCAGTCGGCTCTGCACCGCTCCAGGATGACGTCCAGTCCTATTCTGCAGCAGGCATCGTGCTGTATGATGACAACGCAAACATGGAAGGTACTTGAAACATAAGACGTACCGGCAAGTCCATATAATGTTGGTAGCTACTAGCTACTCATCTCGCTTATTATGATTGTGTTATGAAAGGAAGCCTATGGACTGTCACTTTGCGCAACGTGTAACTCGCATTCTTAAGAAGGGGAGACGGATTCTCAGGGCATGAAATATACACTCAGGGCTTAGCTTCTCATCTCATGAAGCATTGGATTTCTGAGGTTAGAAAAGCAGAATTACTCTTTATGTCCACAATGCCATTGACATTGTAAGCCGAATAGAATGGCTCGTTTACTTCAGTGCAAAACACATTGTAACACAATCAAATCGACTGAAACTATGTCCTCAAAACTCCACAGGAATAAGCGGTGAAGGCCACGCACAATCCTTGCTGCCCCTCCAGCCAGGCCAGCTCTACTACACAACCGTGCGGGCCATCACAGGCGCCGGCAACGTGTTAGAGTCAGCGTCAGACGGCTTCACTGTCGACGTCACTCCTCCTCAGGTCTTTGGTTTGGTTTGCTTTATTCAGATCTCCATTAGTGAATACACTTAACTAGTTTTCTGGAGTCCATTTACAAAATATAACAATGGAATATAATAAAAGTATACAAAAGGATTAACGGACGACTGACAGAAACTGAACGGAAAATCACATTAATAATGAAAATAATAGAAATCAATTATACAGCAATTTATACAACGAAATATCTATTTGATATAGGTCGACCTCCTGGGCTTCGGTGTAACGTCAGACGATGAGGAGTACGCCTTCGGACCAGACGTGTCTCGTTACCAGCTGTCGGCAGACTACATCACAGCGGAGTGGGGGTATACAGAAGAAGAGAGTGGCGTGGTGTTCGCTACGTTTGCGTACGGAACGTTCCCGGGCAGTTCTGACGTGTATAACCAGACTGTGACGAGCGAGAGGACGTCGGTGCCGAACGGGCTTGTGCACCCTTCGTCACTGGGGCGGCCCAACATACTCAGCGTTACAGCAATAAACTCGGTAAGACTTTCAGATGTAACAGTAGGATTATTACACTGATATGTTGGCATAAGTAAGTCGTTTCAACAGGACTAAGAAGTAGTGGATAATGATGATGTCCTGTGTTCTGCAACTCAGTGAAGTTGTTGTACAGCCTGCAGTCTCTTGCTGCAGTCAGTCGTTCTACGCTGTCTTCTAACCACATGCCGAGGAAGCCTTCAGCTTAGCTCTCGGAGTTTATAGACATTGCACACTTTGTAAGCATACACAAAAAGTAAAGGAAAACACCATTTCTTTTCTTTGCCCTTCATATTCACTATTAGATTTTGTACGATTATATTTTGTACGTGTGTTGATGATATCTTGAAACTCGTTGTATCCAGGTGGGCCTGCGCACAGTTGCCGTTTCCCCAAGTCTGACCGTGGACTCCACCCCGCCCGTAGCCGGTGACGTCATCTGCCCACGTCACATCCCGGGCACGGACGAGTTCCGGTGCAGCTGGCACGGTTTCCGGGACGACCAGAGCTACATCAGCCACTTCCTGTTCGGCGTCGGTACGGAGGAGGGGGACGACTCAGTATTCCCGTTCACCAGAGTGTCGGGAACTGCCGACAGGTTCAAGGCTAAAGGTGCACACGCTTAGAAACCAATTCTTTATAATGATAAGAAGAGAATAATAAGAAAGAGGAAAATTGAATCCTGTATGTATAAAAGTACGGAGGATGGGGACGACTCCATCTTTCCGTTCTCCAGAGTACATGTATCGGGAACGGCGGACAGGTTCAAGGCAAAAGGTGCACACGCTTAGAAACCAATTCTTTATAATGATAAGAAGAGAATAATAAGAAAGTGGGGCAAGTGGAATCCTGTATGTATAAAAATTAAATCAGACAAGGGGTGATTGAGTGTTGATGATTGTTTCCTTTGTTATTAGTAAGTAAATCTTCAGTAAGGAATTGAGTTACTGATAACGGTTGACATCCTGGGAGGGAGGATAACCTCCTAGCTTAGTAGTTACTGAATAACGGTGGCCACCGTTAGTCAATAGTTACCATAAACGGTATGTGTATCAGGTGTAAGTACAAGCCGTTGGACTACAAGCACATGCGTAAGATATATTGTGGTCAGTAATAATGAGGGCTGCATAATGAGATGCAATTCTTACCGTGTGCTCTTCTATAATCTAGGATTCGCAGGGCAGTTTTTGCGTCACCAGGAAAGCTACTACGCCACAGTGATCGCCTACAACGCTGTAGGAGGGAAAACATCAGCCTACTCCGAGGCTATCGTCATCGACGCAACCCCGCCTGTTCCCGGGACTGTGGTGGAACTGGACAGCATGTACCACGCTGACTTACAGGGAGATGTCTCGGATGGCAAAGCAATGTGCGACAATGAAGAAGGTAAGGCAGCATCAGCTTGTTTCACAGCTTTGTCGATAGCTGGAATGAGTACAAAACAAACCTGCCAGATTCTGTGCGAACATAAAGTGTTACCAGCTGCTTTTCTGTTTTATATCTGTTGATGCCATTGGAAAAGCTACAAAACCAACCAGTCATATTCTGTATGAACAGAACTACATGAGCTACTGTGGGTTTGTTATTGCCACTGAAATAAATGCAGGATCATATAGAAGGCACAAAAATGTATTCTGATTGTTTCAGACTGTGAGGAGATGGATGCCATGTGCCAAGCCTCTGTCACTCAAGTTGCCGTTGCCTGGCAACCATTCGTGGACCCAGAAACGCCAATCACCAGGTAGACATATTTTTCCTTAAGCAACAGTGTCGAAACCCTATACCACAGCTACTTAAGCTTGTAACTTTAGAACAAACAAGGATAGAAAAAGTCAAACATTCTGAAGATGATTTCATATCAAGATACCAGTAATTATATAACCATACATCACTGAACAATAGCAAGTAGAAATATAATCTGAAAAATATGAGCTAAATTCGGAGGCCTAGCTGTTCACACTGACCATGACGGCTGCATTCCAGGTACGAAGTCGCGGTTGACATACATGTAACCACTGAACTATAGCCAGTAGAAATATAGCAGCATACAAATGCCTCTTCACGCTGACTATGGTGGGTACGTTACAGGTACGAAGTTGCGGTTGGTACAGTACCGGGAGCAGCAGACCTTAAAAGCTTCCGCCAAGTTCCCGATCCAGACGTTCGCTTCTTTGTTGTCAAGAACTTGGACCTCTCGGACATCACACAGGTAACTGTTAGGTTTTACACTCTTTGTAAGACCCTTTTTCAATGCACCATAGGCACTAAAACAGAACGTACGCGTGTCGCTTTGTATTTAATACTATAAAAAAAACTGTTCATATAAATGCCATCTGTCGGAAGGTAGAGGTGATCCAAACGATAAGAACAAAGTGTGGATTTTGTACTAGATCATAGTGCTATGGGATTTACGATTGCCAACTACTTCTACCACTTCTATATACACTATCACTACTACCATCACTACGTCTATGACTACTACTACTTCTATCTCTGCAGGTGTTTGTGACAGTGAGAGGACACAACGCGGCGGGGCTGTCCAGTGTGGCCGTGTCTAACGGAGTCTACATCAGTAAGATCAGTGCTGGGTTTCCTCCACTCACACCGCTGGTGGTGAACGATGGGAGCTCCAGCCGAGGCGATATGTAAGATGTGCTTTCTTAAACTTCCAGTTCTACTTCTAGAGTTAATACTTTGCTAAAACTTGGTCATTTAGGCATACGCATGTCTGTAAAAGATACATGGATATGAAAGCGATCACTTGATCTGGTTCGTGTTAAACAACGAATGGACACTTAGGCAAGTATGTACACAGCTTTATGTCCACAATATCCAGAGGCAAAACTCACACAGCTACACCATTGCTACTTCATCCATGTTAACTGATCATGCCAGCCATAAGGGCTTCTAGAGATAGCCAATCTTCAAGAGGGTCATGACTTTATCTTTACTGACTGACGACGACTTTCTGTTTTCGTAACCAGAGACTTCCAGAATCACAACGAGGAGATCAGCGCGCACTGGGACCTGAGCGGCGACCCCTGTCCCTCCGTGCGGACGGAGTGGTCTGTGGTCAGGCTGGACGGGGTTAATATCCTGCCGCTTACCGAGCTGTCCCCAGGTAAGGTTTGTAAAAGGGGCCACAACTTATGAATGAATTCTTTCAACAAGTTTGCTTAGTGCAGTTACTGAAGTTACTGGAAGTTACAGCATGCATCTCCACTACCTGAGTCAGGAACATAGATGCTAGAGACAAGCTTGACTGAGAGTGAGGTCTAACCGTCCCAATAGGAAAAGCAGGTGTCACAATGGCTGTACAGGAAAATTCCTTATGTCATTTAGACCGGAATGGCTTGATCTATCCACAAGTAGAAGGACTCCTACTCTTTTCGATAAGAGTGGTGGGATATTTAAGATAGCCGTCAACCTTGCTTGGTGACAAAATGTACCTTTCCAGTGCCATTTCGTTGTATCTATGCCACATAGTTAGATAGGGACCTAGTAAAAGGAACACTGTATGTTATAAATGACTCTGTACCTAGGTGCTGACCGTGCCACCTCTGATGAGTTCGACCTCCGTGACGGTGAGACGTACTACACCGTTGTCAGGGCAACCAACCAGCTGGGCTACAGCTACTCCGTCAGGTCTGACGGCGTCACGGTCAGGCTGGAGCCTCTCGTTCCCGGGGTAGTGCGGGACGGCGCCATCCTCGGGTTCGACCTGTCCCATCAGCAGTCCGTGACGACGCTGTCGGCCAACTGGGACAGCTTCGGGAAGGAGTACGGCCTCGGGGACGACGCAGCTATCAATGGTAAGACTGGTTGTTGTAACAACTACTCAGTCCCGCTAGCTGTATGTTTACTTCCTCTAATTTGTGTATTGGCGGTCAAAGCAATCTTTGTCGTCACCATCATCGGTGCTTCTAATTGCGAGGTGGGTAAAGCCTCAAGAACTCCGAAAATACTGTTCTCAAAGTTCCTATAGCTATGATGCTATCCATATAAAAATGAAACTCATGCTAGTTTAAGTCCTGCTATTTTCACATTCAAGGAGAAAGGGTTGAGATAGGAGAGCACCAAATAATATTCCATTATGAGGGCACAGTTGCATCTTCTCAAAGTCCATTGCTATCATGATACTATCCATACGAAAATGAAACTCATGCTTTTTCAAGCATAAAGAAATTCTCGTCTTTAATTCAAGGGGAAGCTGTTGAGATAGGAGACCACCAAATCATCGACCATTACGAGGTCGCGGTAGGGACAGACCGACGGTACCCAAGCACCCGTACCAACATCCGACCGTTCACCAACGTCGGACAGAACAAGACCGTCACTTTTGAGTACCTTCAGCTCGTCCCGAGGACGGGCATTTACTACGTCACGGTCCGGGCCGTCAGTCTCGCGTCATCCACGACAGAAGTGACGTCAAACGGCATCCGGGTGGGATTCGGCGGTGACATCATATCGCATGGGGAGGTACAAGTACCAAGGTAGGTGATCATGACAACCTTGTTGTCATGTTTCCTCTTTTCGAACCTGTTGATGTGATATGTTCTATCCCCACTCTACTACCTTTTTGCACACTCATATACACAAGGCTTCAACCACAGCTTACCTCAGTGAATAGTTTAATCAGGTTAGTGCTGTGCTGTGTAATGAGGACCAGTCAGAATTGCCCCCAGAAAGATGACAGACGTCGGCTGAATAAAACACTTGGTTGTGTAGAGAGTCTCTTCATTTACCGCTTACCAAAGAAGATGACACTGTGGTAAAAAAAGTATATATCACTGGTGCTAGACTGCCAGTTGTGCATACTATTTTGCATTGCTGATTTCCAGTATACCTTTCCATCGTCACAGATACATCTCTTCCAACGCCAACATCACGGTGGCCTGGAGTGATTTTGAGTTCACCATGCCCATCCTCCTCTACCAGTGGGGCATCACATCCAACCGGACCGAACTGGACAGTATGAACTGTCTAGACCTGGTAAAGAAATGCTGCTGAATCAATCTCTATATGGCTCGTTTCTTCGGTCGCCTTCAGGTGGCTGAAGACTATGTCACCAGTGTAGGTGCTTTACACGAAAGGGTATAAGTATAAATGTAGGTTGTCGGATCCTGCCCTTAAAGGGCTCCAAGCAGATCGAGAGAGAGCAGTCTCTTTTGCGATCTGTTTCCTATTGTGCTTACTCAATAGTGTTTGCACCCACGTGACTATGAAGTGTATTCTCCGCCATATTGAATGGTTAAACCTGGAAGTTGCCAGGTAAATTTTCCACGTTCGCCTAACATGTTTGGCGACTGTTACCTCCTTGCTAAAACCCTTATTGTTGTAACAATAGTCTTCCGAGACTGGACTGCCAATTATAATGTTACAGTGAAAAGGAAAGTTTCATCCGTTGATCTTCTATCTACTCATTTCTGCAATTTTTCCACCGATTTTCAGCAAAACTTTGACGAGGAAGGGTACGCCGGTGTCAGCGAGGAGCACGCCCACCTGTTCGACATCTACCCCCTGACGAAAGTGGGCAGGAACACCATGGTTCAGTACGAGGGGTTGGAACTCGAACACGGTCACACGTATCACGTGGTTGTCGTGGCAACGGACGAGGCTGCGCAGTGCGCCATGGCCCTGGCTGACGTCACGATTGACACCAGCCCTCCGGCGGAAGGACGTGTGTCTGTAGGAGCACCAGGAGATAAGGTAAAGAATGAAGCGACAAAATAAGCTTATATGATGTGTCACAAACATTTTGCTATAGCTGTTGATGATACATGTACAGGTTGCTGCAGATGAAAGGGTAGCCTCTGGACCAGAGCACTTTTGGTTAACTCTCTTCCTTGAAATGTGGTGGCATCGCGTGGCGTAATAGTCAGGGTGTTTGACTCAGAACCAAGAGGTTCCAGGTTCAATCCCCTGATATGATCATGCCTGATGCTGTGCCTTTGGGAGAGGCACTTTAAACGGCTTCCCTGTACAGTGTAGTGACGCCCACTGGGCCTTTCGACTTTATCGCTGATACTTGTGCCCAAACACTGATGAGGACAGATGGATTTGGTGTCGCCAATGTGCCAAGATCTGTACATTTGCCACTATGAACCGTAATTTTTAATGCAGTCAGTTCAAACAAATCTTAAGTGTCAGTTGTATTTCTTCACCAGGACGTCATGTACACCGCCATGGCTGACCGGATGGAATTGTTATGGGATGGTTACCATGACGACACGAGCGGCATCGCCCGGTTCGAAGTCGCCCTGCTGTCAGGCGGCGACTGCGAATCCAGTGATGACGCGCGGCGCAACGTTGAAGTCGACTTCGTGCCCGTCGCTGCGAACGAGTCATCCTACATGTTTGTCGACATTGATTTGAAGGTACGTACTAGGTACAATTTGTGCAACTATATTTGTGGTATGGTATTTCAGAATTAATCTTTTTTTTATTTGCTGAAGTAAGACGTGCTTTCCTGTAAGGAGCACCACTCAGAACCATATAGCCATATCGAAATGATGTAATTGATGCACTAGGTCGAGAGAAAACCGAGACGAGATTTCAAAATCAAATAAGCAGATTTTGGTGACATGGGTGATTATACTGTAACAGCGGTATATTTCAAAAGACCATCATTATTTATTGTGTAATTATTGAAATAATGCCTGTTATAGATTTGAATGGCTATCGAGCTCCAAAAGTCCCCCTACAACACATCACATGTAAAACTAATAGTGAACTTCTGCTGTATGTATTACATAGAAAAGCGCAAGAGGGCTTCACACTTTTCTACCTTGCAGGCTGCCTATCCATGCCATAACTTCATAAGGCTACACATGATGATGATGCAATACACTTTCCTCCATTGCAGGCTGACACCCCGTACTACGTGACCTTCCGCGCCATAAACCGAGCAGACCTGGTGACGGAGTCCACCACCCCGCCCATCCTACTGGACCGGCTGACCCCGGCCTATCCATGCCATAACTTCATAAGGCTACACATGATGATGATGCAATACACTTTCCCCCATTACAGGCTGACACCCCGTACTACGTGACCTTCCGTGCCATCAACCGCGCGGACCTGGTGACGGAGTCCACCACTCCTCCCATACTACTGGACCGGCTGGACCCGGTAGCTGGGGACGTCAAGGACGGGATAGACTTCGAGACAGACGCCACTCACCAGAGCTCATTGTCAGAAATGAAAGGTAACAAACTTAACCTTTGCTTCCCCTAGTTAATCTAACCACATTTTGTTAGATTAGTGCGCTCTGCCCCCGTCTTTGTATTAACCATACGACGATTGACATCATCACCCATATATATATGCGAGCAGTAGCCAAACTACATTGCACAAAACTATAGCTACTAACAAAAAGCATCATGCTTCAACTCTGTTGATGATGGCTGACGACGACGACTAGTATGTTGTAACACTTAATTAGAGTGTGCTCTATATCCACCAGATAACAGTTAACCATCACTCCAACAAGTAGGGTGTGATAAAGACTTCTTTTTCGCACAGCCACCTTGCAAAGATGGGTGGGTCTTTCGTGACGAAAGCCGGTGCATCTCCTGAATATCAGAAGAGTCTACGTAACTTGTGTTTGAAATGGAGCCCTTTCAAATGATCAATTCAATTTCTTCCTTTTCCAGGTGTGATCATACACCACCCTAACCCAGTGGGCGACCCCTGCCCCAAGAGGAGCTTCCCCATGGATGGCATGCACGACAGCTGGTCAGCTCTGGAGACAACAGGGCTGTGGGGAGTGTCGAGGGAGAGACGGATCGTGTTCGACCCTGAACACGTATGTAGCTTGATTCCACGACAGTCGTATTCATGGTATAATGCATGGCAACAACTATTGAACATAGTACAAAATAGAGATAGTAGTACAAAATAAAACTAAATAACTAAAATCCTATGTGAAAGAATGAATTTATGAATGGATGAAGGAATACGAAGGAGTGAATGAGCAGGCAGACGTTTTAGAACTAAATGATACAATTTACTGACACATTACCCTTTCACTAGTTTCAGCCAGCTATTATGTGAAGACATTCCAAACTTTCCTCTAGATATGGTATTTCTGGCCGTGCCTTCACGATCAGGTTGTTGTGACTAGGCTATACAAAAGGGCTCTGGCCATGGATAGAGATAGTGCCCTTTTAAGTCACTAGATACACTTTTCTTCTTCAAGAAACACCTTTCATGATCAGATTTTTGTGACCATTCTCTCTCCAGCTTTCGTTTGATGAGGAAGAAGGCCTGTCAGTCCGGCTGACACGTGATATAGAGTACGAGAGGATGATGTCAGGAGCCTACTCTACAGACGTGGATGGGAGCAGAACGGGACAGTACGAGGTGAGAAACCTGTAGTCCAAACGCTTGCTATACATGTACATTCTCAAACCTAGGGCATACATAACCATAATGCAAGAAATAGTCCAAGGAGGAATTAAGAGGGGTAGGCAACGATGGGAGGATAATACCAGAGAATGGTATTGACACGAAACTATTGCTAATTGAAAGGTTAAACTGCGGTGCCTCAACGCGATAGAATGAATAGACTACGGGATATATAGTTCAGTTCAGGTCATCCTCATACATTGCAGATATAATAAATCATGATAAATTTATTATAACGTTTAATTGCTGACTTCTACAGCTGGACATCATTGCTGCCAGTGGGGAGCTGCAGGCCGTCACCAGTGTTGTGTTCTGGGGCGGACCGGAAGGGGTGGTCGGAGATCACAACGAGATGAGCCTGGAACAAGAAGATGCTCTTTTCCCCAGCATCAGTGAAAACTGCAGTTGCTGTCAACCAGGGAATGATACCACAGGAACTGCTGGGAATGTTACAACGACTAATGTAACAGTTTCAACGACTAATGCAACAAGTAAGTATCTAACACAACCTGATAGATAAGTAGATCATACCGGTGCCCTGACAATGCCTTTTGTTGTGGGGTCAATGCTTTTATCGTGGGGTCGTGTGGCGTAGCGGCAGAGTGCTCGACTCGGAACCAAGAGGTTCCGGGTTCGAGTCATGCCACTGATCTTGTGCCCTTGGGAAAGGCCCTTTACACGACTTTCCTCACTTCGCTCAGGTGAAAATGAGTTATTCCCTGTGTTGGTGGCGGCATTAACATAACTTGAAAAAACTTGAATGTGCCGTCACCACGTCTTGTGATTACATGTTAGAATATATTTTTAAAAATGTTGAAAAAATCGCTCTCGATGTACTGTTACATTTTATTATATAATATGGTTTTTGCAAGCCACCATTTTCTGATGCAAGTCCTGTTTTCTCTAGACGACTGCAACTGCACGTGTGCTAGCCCTACCAGTGAACCACAATACACAACTGAGGAACCCACGACCACGACTGACCCTCCCCCAGGGTGGTCCATCGAGAAGGGTGATACGGAATGGGAAACGCACGAGACAGAACCCGATTCACATGGCTCGCCTTATGCTTCGTGTGGACTACAGATTCATTCAGGTAATGCTTTACCCTTTGAATTACCCAAGAGATGGTGTGCCGAATCAAATAATAAATAAGTCAATGAACTAGACTGGGGAATTGTGCTTCTTTTTGCATATATTCCAAGCCTCAAAAATACGGCCAGGATGACCGATGTATAGATGGAACCTGGTGTACAAGACAGAACTATACTTTCTAAAACCAATTGAAAGGAACCATATCGTAGCCTTATTATATGTCTAGTATATTTTGTTTGTTGTTTAAGAGTCGATCCTGATTAGATGTGGGCAGGGAATCAGTTGCCATTGGTGATGATCATCTACCTAGAATATGAAATTAAACATTCTATTACAAGGCACTGTTGGAAATGTACAAGTTTCACCAGAGTTTATTTCATTTGCATCTATCATTCTTCCATTTTTCAGAAACCGCTGACAGTCCCAGCTATATTGGGCTGTGGTGTCGGTTTGCGAACGGGACCCAGTCAGAACAGGGAGAAACCGTAAAACTGGATTTCGACCCGTCAGCTGCCTGGCACAAGTACACACTACAGTTCATGGAGGAAAAGATCTTTGCTACCAAGGTTTGTCCACAGTTTTCGAGAGTTCATGAACACAACACACACACACAGAGCTCTGAGAGAAAGAGAGAGAGAGAGTGAGAGAGAGAAACACACACACACACAAACATACATGTCGTTGGTGCTGAACGCCATCCACACAGCTCTGAGAAAGAGAGAGAGAGAGAAAGAGAGAGTGAGAAAGAGAGAGAGAGAGAGAGAGAA